GTCTGCTTGTATTTAGCACTTAAGGGCTTATATACCCAGTTTGCTCAAAAGAGTGAAGAAGTACTCCTTGCTTATGCCTCAAATCAGAAATGCATGAAGTGCAGCTGCAGAGATAATACATTCTCCCCAAAGGCTTTGGCTGAGCAAATTAGGTGTCAATGGGGTGCCTGTGCTGGCAGTACTCTCTCTAATTAGTCTCTTGAGCCTAGTTGGTGGCAGGTATGAGATGATCTAATCAATTGGTCTGTGTCTGATGGTACGTGTAAAAATCCTAGCAGGCAGAGCTGTCTCCCACAGGTCACTCACCTGCACAGCAGGAACGCTCATTTTCATTTTTCATCTCTTCCATCACATGATGCTGACAGTTGGTTTTAAGGAAATTGAATCCAAAAAATATCTAGTTCATAGGGCATGTAGGTCAAAATAAAGTTGCATTATGGGTATTGGTGATCCAATTAATTAATATTTATAGCAACAAGTTGCATGTAGATATTATCGGAGTGCAAATAGTATTGCTAATGTTTGGTTGGCTTTTTTAAATGACTCCTCTAACAAAGGTAGGAATAAAAGGTGTRGGAAAAGTCACCTGTTAATACTGTACTTTTTTTTTTCAGAGAGGATGAACAGTATCTGTGGTGTCTGAATGTGTGGTAGAGGGAGAAGCAGAAAGAGTATTATTGTTGATGATCTTAAATACCTCCATGTTTCAGCTCATAAAGAATACAGYATCTCCAGTTGCCAGATCACATTTTTATTTTAATACTGGAATACTCTTATAATAATGCTAAATCAGCTGCCACGTAAATAGACCTGCACTCTGAGTGTGCTTTGCATGCTAAAGACTCTGCAGGAGCACAGCTCCACCTGATATGATAATTTATACAGAAATTAAAAGTACCTAGAGAAGGATGCTGATGCTGCCAAAAAGAACATGTCTTTTTTGTAGGAAAGGACATTATTTTGCTAATTAAAATATAGAAAAATATTTGTGATTTAATTACCCTCCACTGCCTCATGTCTTGAGAGTATGGTTAATGTTTGAATGACAAGCTTTGGTATTCCCTTTCTAGAACCATTGTTACATCAACAGCTACTCCATTCTCAAGTTRGCATCTGCTGTTTTTAAGGTGGATTAACACTCTATCCCATTTGGGGTCTGGGATAAACAGAATGTATGAAGCAGCAGATTTCTCTAGATAGCAAACATAGAAATTGGTCACTTCATGTAGATCACTTAATATTTCAAACACATCATTAACTTGCTTGTAGAAAGCTATTAGGTTTAGAAGAGAAGTCATGAAAACCAGAATCTGTATGAAAAAAGTTCATTTTTGAGGCAGTCTGTTATGTTTCAGGSTTTGTTGTTGTTTGTTTGTTTGGGGTTTGTTGTTTTGCTTTGGGTTTTAAGAAGATATGAAAGAACRCTATTTTGCTCTTGGGAAATCACAAGTTGTAAATATTCCATTTAACAATTTACAATTTTATAAGCAAAGCTGTGACCAGAGGCCATAAACATAATCTGCCAAGTCACCAGGCAAAACTTTGATTTGTATGATGAGGGAAAYGTATAAATTCTAAGCAAGGATATTTCTAAAATATATCTTTAAAAATGCAAACATGGAATACTAAGCCATCTGGGAACTGARCAGCAGCACTGTGTAGAGGGCTCTGCCTCGGGTCTTTGTTGTATGAACTTAACTGAAACTGATGTTTCAGTTCAAAATCCACACTGAAGAAACAATGCTTTTTTAATAAAAAGATTGCTTCACACCAGTCTAAAATTTTCTGGGTTTTTTATTGTGGATTTTCTGCTGTGGAGAAAGAGATGCTCTCCTCTTTCTCCAGTTTYGGAAAGGTGTTTATTTGATGTCTTATCTTAAACAAGAATAAATGTGAAGAGAAAGTGCACAGTGATTACGATGCTTCTCTCACAAGTGGTCTATCTGTGTCCAGTTTCTTCCTGAGCACAGGAGAAAGCTGGCACTCCACRAGGGCTCTCTGAGGCAGGGAAGGGATTGCACCTGTTGACTCCACTTTTGAATTGACAATAAACATTCAGCCAATTAGAGATTCAGATGCAAACATTGTCTCTTCCTAACCACCACACTTGTTGGGTCATGTAGGATTTCATACACGGGGGAAACACCTCAGCAGGCAGAGCTGAGTGCTCAGCCTCAGAACACCCTGGCCATGTGGGGAACTGGTGTGAGCAGTGGGTCTGCCATGCAGGCTGGCTTCCCAAACCGAGCAGACTGTGCATTTCAACACATCTGTAGAGACACTGAGAGCACATACTGTTCCCTGGTTCCAGTTGTACTGTGTCTTCTAGCTTTCCCCAGCTAGAACCATTGGTAAAATGTGGCAYCAAATCATGTTCTTTTCCAGTGATCTAATGTAAATCTTGAGCCTGGGCAGAAGGTGGGGGTGGCATTGCCCACCACAGGCTCTAAGCTTCACAGGAAACCAGTGGCATAACAGGATTCAGCAAAGCTGGAGCTGGTGGAGTTGTGATCATAAAACTCAGCTGCCTTACACTGAGCCAGAGCAGGAAATCTGTAACCTCTGCTATCCCTTCTTAGTCTTCACTGTTCTGCCTGTAGTCTGTACTGGTGCTAGCAGTAGCTGCCAGTGTACATAGACTTTTTTTTTTCTCCATAGATTATATGGTGACAGCTCTCAGTTTATTAATTTCTAAAGAATCTCTTTATGTTCTAGAKCTTGATTCTGGAAGTGCTAAGCTTCTAATGAAGTTATTCCCCATTTCACAAGCTGAAGCCCTGCCCTGCAGAATGTGTCATYAGCTTTCCCTACAGAGCCAAACTTGAAACCAGAAGATGTTGTATTGTCACTGGGAAATCACAGTATAATCCTAGAAGTGAGATGCAAACCTCCTTTAGAAATTGTACTGAGGTCCACTGATAGAAAGGAAAAGTTYTGTGCAATTAATTTAATTGCAGCTATTCTCAAATCTGAGCAATTTGATAACTACTGGAAAAGCATCCATCCAGAGACTATTCTGACCCTATAATTTTGTTACCTGTCTCAGATGTCCCTGCTGCTTATGCCAGTCTCTGGAACTCCAGTAATCAGGGTTTAGCCTGAAATCAGGCCAGCTATTCAGGATCTGGGCAGATGTGGCTTCCAAATTGCCTGTTTCCAATTGTGGCCCAATTTCCACAGCTGTAATGTGGCTGGCARTGGGGGCAAATGCAAGCTCAATGTTGGAAGAACCTTGGGGAGTTTATTTGCTTCCCTCTAAGAAGGAGCTCCCAAGAGGCCATTCCTAAAATGTGCTTTTGAAGGAAGGGAAATCTGGAATTTGGAGAATATTATCAGTGGTGTTTCATTATCGAGCAGTTATGAATCTCTGCACGTTCAGAACATTTTTCTTTTTAAGCTTTTGAAGGTAAACTAAATGCATCAGCTCAAGTGTATCCCTTGAAACAAGATTTATTGGCATTTCAGCCTAGCTTCTAGACCCTGGGGAAAGTGGGACTTTCATGTGGAATAGATAGTCCCACAAATTCCAGATGCATTTAGGAAACAACCCAAGAAGGACTCTAGAGGTGATAAGACCAAGCTCCAAGAGGGCCCATGATGCTTAAGAATAGGCTTTTATTAATCCAATTCAGGTATCCTGGTGTTTAAAGWACAGAAGAAGAGCTCTCAAGAATCATGACAGGAACCCTGGAAATTACAGAAGTTAATAYGTTGTGTTGACATTGGGGTGTTTTGTTGAARGCCACAATTWAAATGTTGTGCTTGAACAYTGCTTGAAACTGCAATTCAAAACCRATGCYTTGTTTTCCTCCTGCTTTTGAAATGAAGGCTAGACTAGATTCACTGGCACCTGCATCCAGTTTGATTTAAATAGTTTTAGGACATGCTAATACAAACCAGTTCCATGCTCAATGAGTATTTCAGCATTCTTTTTTTTTTTTAAGTGAATAAATTCCTTCGCATCTGACTGTCTTCCTGCAACTGCATTTTAAAACTGTATCAAGTCTGTAGTTCTAGTCTTGGAGAACTTAACAAATATATTTTCAGAATTTCTCAGAAAGTTTCACTTTAGTACTTGGCATGGAATTCAACTTGGACATTCATTAAGAGTTGAATATGTTAATTAKAAAATCTTTTCAGTGACTTCAGTTCATCTAGCCTTCATTCAGCCTTCACATGACTTTTTTTGCAGTTATTGGATGTTTTGTTTTGTTGTCTCACATTCTCAGCCTCCCTCCTGTTTTGTGTAAACCTCAAAAATATCAGGATACCTTCTGGCAAGTCCAGCCATTGCTCTGAGMTGCTACATCAGTAGAGTGAAAAACAACATCAGTGAAGCTATTGATAGTGTTTATTTTTGTATTTGAAAGGAGAGGTTTTAGTTATCTGCCCARTAATAAAAAYAYACTGAGATGGRGGTGAATACRTTTAAACACAGAACACCAAGAAGCTCCATAACCTGGTTATGTTTCCAGAATGTTTGTAATTTGCCCCAGGGTACCTCAAACAACTCTTGGGAAGGAAACCTGAGGAGACCTTTTCAGAAACTAGTTGCAAGCATTGTTGTGGAGATCAGTAGGTAGAAAGGGGGCAAAAAGAAAAGGGGGCAAAAAAGGTTGTAAACTCCTGAAGCTCTTTGGCAACCTTCCTTTGCATTCAGGGGGAGTGACCACTTTTATAAGAATGACTGTCTGTTTACGGCTGTCTGTAATTTCCATGGAGAATATCAATGCTAATGGCACCTCTGAAAATTGGCTCTTGGGGCAGAGACACATGAATATGGATAAATATATCTCACTTAGGCAACCACTCTGAAAACACTGCTGTTTTAAGCTCATTTTCCTGAGGTACCAGTTCTAAACATGCTTTGGAAGTCTGCCCTTTGCTCTGAGCTTGTGTCTTCATAACTGGCTTTGGACTAACCTATCTTTTACCAAGTAAAAAAAAAAATTAAAATACAATTCATGAGGCTTACTATAATTTATATTGTTTCCTTACAGGATTAAATTTACCAGGTTGGAGGAGGGAAACAAAAACCTAATGAGGAGGCCAACACCAGGAAGGAACCACGGCCTGTTTCCTTTCTTTCTCTATGGTGGATTTCACTCAAAAGAAAATTGAAGCTGGCAAGACCCTGTTTTCCCCTGCAATTTATTTAAAACCTTGCACGCATTTGGATACCTTGTGATTTCAGAGAACTATGTGAAGATTAAGCTTTTGCTTACTGATACATGGCATGTACTCTTTCAGTCTTTTGTGTTTGATTTTGTTCAATTTTCCACTGCAGTGCTGCATCTTTGTAAGAATTTTAATGCTTCCACCAGCAATGTCTTAAATACTTTCAGACAACACATTTGGTGTTCACACTTCAGTAACAACTGTACRCAAAGAGCCAACAGTGGCATAAAGGACTGTGTGTTTTCTTTGAGGGTTGTGCATCGTTTGCAACCAATGGGAAGGGAATATTTCAAGTGGGAATATTTCTTCCCAGAGCAAGCCCAACTTGTCAGATCAGCTGACAATTACAGCACCTTGCCACTCTTCCTCAAGYGTTGTTGGGTTATTTATTTTTTCATTATCCCCTCAGACCATTCATATCAATTTAAAAACATGGCAATAATTGCATGTTTACTTCAGTACTCTAAATTTGGTTACTCTGCTTAAGCTATGTAGCATGCCAGTTTTCAAAATAGGCCTGTGAGAAGGACAAAGCAAAAATGATGAGATGTATGCAGCTGACAGATATATGAATTCTTTATGGTTTTATTCCCTTCAAGAATATATCTTTCTTTTATGGGTCTTGGCTAACATCTCTATGTTTTTCCTCACCAGTTATCTTTTGGAATATTTTCTTGAAAACAGAGATGAAAATGTTCTGTTTAATTCATGGCAGATACTGAGGTACGGAAAAAATTACGTTGAATGAGCCATTAAATCTAGCTGTGTTTACTTTGCCACGTACAAAGCAAGGTGGAGAATTCTTCTCATCCCAGACTGTTTGCTGTTTCACACCAAAGCACCTTTTGAGTTATTTTCCATAGGTATTCTGAGCTGATTGGAAGGCACTATGTGATCCTTAGTCTTTAGATAGGTTTTCTGAATGAATCATTCAAATGCAAACTTTGCAAGAAACTAAGTTGTGTGTGTGATTTTAGAAAAGGAAACCCCTGGTACATTTTGGCTGGGGAGAGCATTGTGTTCAGGGGTGTGAAAAATCTGCCCTCTTTACAATGTTTTGCATTCAGAGAGGACAGGGTATGGTGCAAAAATCACTGTTGAGTTATAGTCCTGCTTGGACAGAAACACTTGCTAGGCAATATTATTCTACACATAAATTTGAYATCCTTTGCTTGCTGGATGCATTGAATTACATTTTAAGGAAGTGTGGTAACGCTTTGGTTAGCTTTCAGTGTTTAAAAGGAGGGAAAGGATTTGTGCTACTGCCATCTTATTAAACTCCAACAGTGTTTAATAGGAAAAAGACACCCAATAAGGCAAATCCTTGAATGCACAAGTAGCTACAAAAGGTCTCTTAATGAACTAGGACAGGAGTCTACACTTTCAAAGAAGTGAACCATGGAAATATTCTCAATATTTGCACAGCCATTAAAAGACCATTTTCCCCAATGACATCTCTGTTTCAGGATCTGCTAAAAGCCATCTGAAAGCCACTTTCAGTCACAATCCTATTTAGAACTTAGTACAGTTTTCCCCCAGTGTTTATAAGGGGAAAAGTGACCACTGAACTTCTGAATTTATCACACACTGAAACTGCCTTAGACGTGGTTTGTTTGGGTTTCATGTTTCTTTTTTGTTTTGTAAGAGAAAAGTCTTTTATACATTATCTTTGCTACTTAAATYGTGTGCAGTTTGATGATTAAAATTAGCTATTTTTAGAAAAAAAAAAAAACTTGCTGCAAAATCTGAAGAATTTTTGAAAATGTAACAGACATTTTGATTAGGAATATAAGGGTAGTTTCATAGATGCTTCTACTTGACACCTTAAATTTGAAGGCAAGCAATTATACTGCTCATCTAACCATCTGAAGGTTTAATATAGAGAGTAATTCCCCAACTGTTCCCACAAGCCTAGCACATTACTATCCATAGTGACTCACACAGTGTTTGCTTAAGGGGTGTGTGTGTGTGTGTGTGGGTGGGTGCGTGTGAACACACATGTGCGCGTGAGATTATCTTCTCTGTCCCATTCCCACTTTTAAGCAACCACTGAAATAAAATTGGTCCAAAAATCTTCAAACCCAATTAATTGCCTGAAGGTAAGTTCATAARTATCTAGGTTTCTAAATAGCAACTTGATCTTCAGCAGTAATGAGGTTATCTCAGCTGCTGATCAATAAGGAGTGACCAGGGTCTCTTAGTTCTGCCCCTACTTTCCAGGCACCCCAACTGTCTGTGGTGTCTTGGTTTTGCTGCTCTCCCAAGGAGGCTCAGGGCACTGGGGATGTTCTCCAGGCACTGAGGAGACCTAGGCTCAGCAGGATGGTGCTTTTCACATGAGCACTGTAAATTAATCTTCTGGAATATCAAATCTGCTGGGAAATATCAAGGKTTTTTTGAGAAAGTAGAAGCTCCTTTGTCCAGGGAACTAACAGCTGAAAATACAGTCTTACTTTCCTCTTCTCCCTTCCAGCAGAGCCCTTACCTGCATGGTTAGCTCAACTGACACCCATCATTTAGGACCCCCAGACAGCTGCCCACCTCTCCAGCTGTTTTCACAGAATGGACTGTTTAAACCCCATCAATGCTCTTGAGACAGCTTCAGCAAAGATGAGTAGTGTTACTCTCTATTCTTCTCATCCTTCCCAAGTCAGTTCCCCAAAGAATCTTCARAGTCAAGAAGTAGCCCAGCCTTCCAGATGTGCTGTGGGTGCCTAGAACATGGCATTCCACATTGTCAGCAGTCAACAGTTGGCTTTAGTGACCAGTAGTCTCTGGGGCACAGTCCTGGAGAAACTGTGGGACTTGCTCAGTCAGTAGCCAGCAGCAGCATAACTTGAATATTCCTACCACTTGGCTGAGACCCCGTAGATCTTTCCTGGTGATACTTGAGAGGATGTGGCTTTGCTGCAAGATGGGAGAGCAGCCACAGGGCAGCAGATACAGCAGGCAGATAAAAGGGGGAGGGTATGTTCTGACTCTGTATGGGATCTGATACTAAGTGAAGGGGGAAGGGAAGATGGTGATAGAGATGGTCTGCATGATACAGACAGTCCTTACAAGTTCAAGTTCACAGAACCTGACTTTACAAGTCAACCAGCTGGAGATGGTTCAGTCCTCTCTCCTGCTGGGTTCAGAGCAGCTCTAATCCACACCCAGCAGGCACCACCCAGACAGGACACTCCAATAGTTCTGACATTACATTACTGTATGGTGTCCTGGATCAGTTGGKTCCTTTTAATTCTCACTCTTATTTTTAATCAGAACCATGTCTTAGGACAAGTCATCAGTACAAAAATCTGCAGTAAATTCCATCTGCAGTAGACAGAGGCACAGGGAGGTTTGCTTTCTCATTGGCATGTAGGGGTTCTGCACTTCAGACCCCTAGGCAGAAAAATTAARATAAATAAATAAATCTCTGTGGATTGGTGGGTGATGTACACCCCTGTGTCAGTGCACACAACCAAATGTGTAGTTAAATGCTCTGATATGCTCATATACAAAATATTCATCTGTGAATATTACTGGGTTTGTAATCTTTGTTATATAAAAGGTTTAGGCTGTACAGACTGGGGAGCAAAATGCAGATACCCCATATAAACAGAATTAGGTTGCATTACTGAGAATAACAATACTCTCCTCTACCAGCATTTAGGTGGAGTGACTGTATGTTACTGCCTTGCATTTTTTACATAAGCAAAAAATCTAAAAGTAAAGGATGCACTAMTAATTCCCATCCCCCAAAATACATTTCAATGGTGCTGCATACAAAATTCCTGCTTGCCAGCTTCCATGCGGATTTTTGTATGGTGCACTAAGAGGTGTTCTTTTTTTAACAAATAAAAAAGGGGAGGGCTGGTACATGGAAACAATGTTAATGTAATTAAATATATATATACTTCAGAAGAACAGCATAGTAAGCAGTACAGTAAAATAAATGTCGCATTATTTGTTACACCTTGTAATTTGTCTGTATTATGAAAGATGTAATGGTTTGTCAGCTGTAACTGTTGTTTTCTTGTAACATCATATTGAATAAAGTGTAGCAGAATCTCTCTTCTCCTTTGTACATGTGATCTAGACCTAACCAACAGAATAAAGCCTTTTTCCTTTTTGTTCTCCAGAAACCGAACAGGGAAATGGTTGTAAACAAGAGATTTTTAAGGAATGAAAAGTACTTGGAAGCAGGCAGGCACTAGAACAGTAATTAGTTGAAAAGATTATTCACTGGTTCAGTCAAACATGAACTTCATCAAAACTACAAGGCAGTGCTGACTACACAGGGCAAGATTCTTCGCATTTCTGTCTGTAATAATAAGTTAATTATTTGGTGTCTCTTTCCGTTTTGTTATATATGTGACAAGGGACTTCTCTACAGTACACTGGAATTTAACTGAAGTAGTAGAAAATTTGCCAGTGTTCTGAAAAAACCAAACCAGCAGGTCTGATTTAAATATATCATCGCATGGAGAATGAAGTCTGTTTTATTGCAACTTCTCTTGAAATAGAAAACTGAGAATTCTGGCAGAAAATCAGGCAAAACATACAGTACGAGTTTTTCACAACTTTGATGTGGAAGTGTGATTTATCCTTGTTCATCCTTGATTATTTATTTCAATCAGTGAGCATATGCTGCCTTGATTGTTTGTCTGTTTATCTGTGCATCACAGCATTAGATAAGCAAGTGCTAGCTCACACCATATATTATCAATATGTGTGTTCAGTATTTTCTCCTCCTTTCCATTGCTTCTAGCTTTTTTGGTACCAACATCTTGCTAGGACCTATTTTTAGACAATGAATGCTAAATCAATGCAGCTTACATAGACTTCATTAGAATATTTGCCTGAAATGTCAGAATATGCTGTTTTAGCAAACATAAGACTCTACAGGAATCATTTTGATCTGGGRTGGGGAATGGCTGGAGAGCAAGTGCTCGTACTGTGTAGGTTGATGGGGCAGCAGCAGTAGCCTAGAATACAGATAATGGAGGACCTAGATTATATTATGGAGTCTTGGCTCCAGCTGATTAGAAATATTTGAARATAAAAGGGTCTTTCTTGGAGCTAGCACAATATAAGGCTGAATGTGGGTCTTCAGTGTCCTGGGTTTTATCTGGTAGTATAATGTTCTGGCCCAGTTCTGATCACAGAGCACTTCAGGAGAAGAATCCTCATTTTTCAGTCTAGAAAGTTGCTGCAGAATGACATCATCTGCACCCAGAGGGCACTGCACAAAAACAAACWATGAAAACACATGCATGTTCATCTATTTATATTTTACCCCCAGTTCTCACTGGCTAGGGCAGGTTTAGGAAGGTGTTGCCTKTTTATAGTCAAGATGAATAATTTGTATTCTGACTCACTACCTGTATGGCAACTTTAACCTACAAATCCCTCAGATACAAATGAGGACCAAGAATTATTACCTAAAAAGGTTTGTGTGTTTGAGCACAGGGTACCAGGAAGCATGTTCAGAGTCAGCCTTTAATTATGTAGTATAATCTTTAAAGCCGTCTCCTGACCCTCTTGGCTGCACTCCTAGCCTGTTTAGCTCCAAGGTTTTCYTCCAAAGCTAGCCTGGCTGCTATGGCAAAGCAAGAGATGCATTTAGCTAGAACAGCAGCCACCCCTCCCCTGAGAAAAGAAAAACCAGAGGGAAGGTGTTGGAGCAACCCTGTGCCACTGGGTTAACACATACAGTTTTTCAATAATGCCTCTCCTTGTAAAYCTCTGCAAAGTAAACCCTACAGCAACGGAAGGGCTTGCTGCTACCAGTGGGGGGTGGTGTTATGGACATTAGATTTGAGAGGCTTATAGAGCACATGGGCGAAGATAAAGGGATACMAATCAGAGGGGGAGAAAAAAAAACAACTGAAGAGATTTTTAAAAAATATCCAGGGCCAAGTATTTACTGTTCATTTCCCTTGCGAGTGGTGCTATATATTGTCTGCAGTGAGTCATGCTGAGAGCGAGCCAGGCACAATAATAGCTGAGAGCAGTCCTGCAGCCCCTTCGTTATTGCTTCTGCCGGCTGATACTGAGTTGGGCAAAAGAAAGTGATTCCAGAAGTGTTCCTTTTTTTTTTTTTTCCTTTTCTCTTGTTTCCCAAAGGGCCCAGTAGTGATTGCTGGGGCTGTACTACCTTGAAAGAACTGCTAAATTAAAATCAAACATTTTAAAATTAATTTTTCAAGGACCCATATGGTGATTCACATAAAAGACGTAACAGCTCTAAGTGCTATACCAGATACTGTAGCACCGTATATCCCAGTAAAGTCTTGAAGCCTAAGGAGATTTATGATATCATAGGAACATTTCAGCCTCATCTTTCAACTGGAATCAGGACTATGGTCACAAGGGTAGCTGTTAATCTTACAATCCAGCTAATTATAAATTTGTCCCATGATTTCACCTGAGGAGCTCAGAGTTATTCATGCAGCAAAGAAACGAGCTGTATACACAGTTCTGGAATATATCATGCAGATGCAAAGATCCATATTTTGTAGAAGAAAAAAAGAAAAMAAACCCACACCCCAAAAACTCAAGACACAGATTCAATTTTTTATTTTCAAAACTTTGCATGGGCAAAACCACCTAAGAGAGTATTTCACTTGGTGTTTTGTGAAGACAGCACATTCACGATACTTTCTCAGAACAGTTTCGCAAAACAACGAGGTGTAATTTCTGTGTTCAAAAGAAGTCATGTTCCACAGTACAGACAGCTCCAAAGACATGCCAGAGTGTTGTGCTGTAACAGGACTGTGAAGAGTTGCACATTGACCAAATGCCCAGCATCATGACAGTGTGGAGCAGGAGAAATTGCATGTACTATCATTCGCTGAGAAATGCTGTAAACATGAACTGCCACTTGACTGCCTCAGGAGACACAGCTTCCACAGACCATTTCTGATATTCTTCTATAATCCTAATTTTTTTTTTCTATAACACACAACAGAGACAGCAAAGGAGAAGTGAGTTTTTGCATGGAAGGCTGTACTCTACAGCAACCCCACGCAGGTATTTTGGAACACAACTGCCTACTTGGTAGAGCTGCACTTCTAGTCTCCCACATCCTGCAGGTTCTCTCCAGAAATGCTTGTTTGCATCTGGAAAGTGTACATGTTTTCATTGCTGGCTCATGTATGCAGAGTGATTAATTTGGAATAGCAGGAACTTGTAATTTTGGGAGCAGCTCCTTTAGTGGCCACAGGGATCCCACTCCTCTGTCAGTCCAGGGACAGCAGCGAGKGAGCTCTTTAAGGCAGAATGAGGATTTGCTGCTCCATAGCTTCAGCTGCTCTTCCAAGCTCTGCTGATTTTCTTAGATACATCTGTTGCTGCAGCAGGAGTGGAGGCGGAGGAAGCAGGAGAGAAGGCATGAGACARATGCGTGCACAGTCTGGGGGCAAGGTCATGAACCTGGCAATGGYTAGGACACGGTCACAGGCAAGTCCAGGCATTTTAGAAAATTCCCTTCTKTTACAAATTTCCCAAATGTTCACCCTACCGCTAGCTGGGCCTTTCTTTTATGACCAACACGTGAGAAAGSGATGTTCGGATTGCCCTTCCGCAAGCACTTGCAGTTTAGATTTAGAACAACCAATTGATCAAAGGAAAGGGGAGAATCTCAGAGGGTTTCGGATGAGCCCTTACAAGTCCCTAAATATGAGGAAGTGTACTATACATTCACCACCTGTAATAACACAGAGCTTTGAATATTCCAGTGTGTTTCTGCAGTGTTAGCCAGCAGGGCTCCCTATGACAGCACTGCTGAAGTAAACAATACCCAGGTTTTGGGAGAGGATGCTTATGACATATCCCAGTTTGGCAGCAGTGCCAGGTAGGCTGAAGGAGTCACTCACCAGTTTATGTAGGGAAAGAAAGGAGCCGGGGCCCAGGAAAAGCTTCAGCTCTCACTGAAGGCCTGATGACACAGTGGAGCTAAAGCAGCTTTACTCCCTGCTCCTTGTTAATACTGTGTCTGAAAAAGACTAAACCATCGGTGGCTCACTCGGTGGGATCCCCCAGCCCCTTCCCCTCACTGCCCGTGTTACTTCTACGGGAACTTCATGGTGAGAAACCGCAGCATCCTTCCTAACACTGGGCCCGGTGATTCCTGCACCTGCAACTCAAGCTGTTGAGCTGCTTTGCACCGAAATGTTTTGACTGCAGGAATSTGAATGGTAGGAGGGAGTGCCGGGAAGGAACAAGGACCACATTCAGGTGCGCTGRCTGTGCTGACACCGCTGAGATGCCCGGTTGTGAAGACAAGCCTTCGTTCCTCACAGGGGCCGCGGACACTATAGCTCACGGTGCTCTGGGAGGATGGCCRGTGGGAGGACAGGGCCACAGCTCAGCGCCGTTCGCGTTCTCAAGCAGTCCTGATGCCTTATCAATCAGGCTGATCTGTAAGAGAGGCCAGACAAACTTAAGAGGATGAAAATACACAACTTTAATCCAGGCCTACCAGGCCTACTGGTACATTAGGGCAGACAAAAGCCTCCTCCTGAGGCTATACCCAAAATGGACACCGGGTCACAAGATCTTCACCTTTTATAAGTTCTGCCTTATTAATATATTGGGTCTTAATTCTCCAATGATCTTTACAGGTGATGATGTCAACCACCCCAAACTTGCTCCCCCCCAACTCGCTGATGTTTACATCTTTTGGGGCTCTCGGGCAGCGAGCTGTCCTTGGATTCAGGCTGAGAGAGGGATTGTTTTGTCTAAAGATGAAAGAACGGTAGTTTTAGTGCTGTACTAGGGAAGTACAAGAATACAGATGCATGAAAATAGAGAAACTAAAAATCCTAAGGCATCAGTCTCACGGAGGGGGAAGCTYCGTGCCGCCCTGCCCGGCCCCTCCCGGCGGCACAGGGAGCGCCGGGGGCCTCCACGTGCGGGAAGAGCCGGGAACCCGGGAAGGACCGGGAATCCTGGAAGGGCCGGGCGCCGTCTGCGCCCCCTGGGAAACGGGGAACTGGCGCCAACGTGAGGGAAAACCAGCTGTGGAGTGTCCGCTGCGGAGCGGGAGGAGCGCTAAATGCCGAGCTGGGCAGGGTGCGGCCGCCGCTGGGTTTGGCGCGGTGGGGCAGCCGTGCTGCGGGAGAGGCGGGGTCGGGGAGGGTCAGCCTTCKCACGGACACTTTCCGAAGGTTGCAGGAAATGCCGCTGTGAATGGGGGCTCTCCTCTCTCTCAGCTACGGCTCCTGGCTSTCGGGTAGAGTGGGTGCGGGGTGCTGGGACAAGCCAGGCCCGTGGCTCCCCTCATGGCGTCCCGAGCC